CCCCCCCCCCCCCCATGGTGGTTGGGATAAACATATATAAAACCTTTTAAGTTTTTGTAAGTAGTCCCTTTAATAATTGATGGTAAATAACCATTTTTCAGCTATCCAAGTCTCGATTTGTGGGGACAACAAACAAACACAATGTTGCATGAAGAAAATTGAAATGGTTGACCAGGAAACACAATACGAGCCCCCTTTCAATGTTGATTTGGCTATTGCTGATTTTCCTGAAAGTCCAAACAACCAGGACAATTATTCAGCATCAGAAAAAGAAGACCCAGAATGGTTGCCAGAGAATGATGAGGAATCAGATTATGAGTATGAAGACACCCCATATGAGCAAAATCCCCAGTCATACCACCAGGAAAGAAAGTTTATTGTTTTTGAATCTTCGCTTCAGCAACTTCTCATCAGATGCAACATTTGCTCTGCACCAACAACGATTGAGAAGAAAACAACTCGTGGTACAATGTTAATTGTTAAATCGATATGTTTAGAGGGTCACTCAAGTGAATGGAGGAGTCAACTTGAGCATAACAAAATGCCATGGGGAAACTTTCTCTTGGCTGCTTCCATTCTCTTTTCTGGTTCTCAACCAGCTAAAGTGTTAACCCCTCTCAGGCACATGAATATATGCTCCATTTCTGAACGCCTTTATTCCTTGATCCAGCATGCATACCTCCTTCCAAGTAAGTTTAAACTTTGGGATCAACAGAAAAAATTATTGCTAGAAAGTGTTAAAAACAAAGTTCTAACCCTTGGTGGGGATGGTCGCTGTGACACACCTGGCCATTGTGCTAAATATGGGTCATACACCATAATGGACTTGGACACAAACAAAATTGTTGACACACAGCTTGTACAAGTAAGTAATAAAATGTGACTCACATGAGAATGATATTTTCATTTTTTATCAGTTAATAAAGAAAACATTATGAAAAAGTGATAATTGATAGTGACTATTCATCTGTTATTTGAATCACTTGTCACAAACTAAACATTTATCAATTCAAATATGCTGAAAAATTCAATCTTTTAAGATTTATGAGATAAAAGTTCAATTTTCAAGTAGCATTCCTTGAAGCAATGTGGCTTGTATTCAAAGAATAAGCTGTCAATGGAAGACTTTCTTCTCTCCTTTATTTGATTAATAGAATAGTATTTTACAATGCAGATATGTGGATGTAATTTAATTTTTGTAGAGCACTGAAAGAAGAGCAGTTCTGTCCATATGGAGCTTGAGGGCTTAAAACGCTGCATAAAAACATTGGAGTCAAACAAGATCAACATTGGCACTCTGGTTACTGATCGCCACACTCAAATAAAGAAGTTTATGAAAGGGCAGCACCAGGGGATATATCATTATTTTGACGTTTTCCATGTTGCAAAAAGTATGTTTGAAATTTAAATGAGCATCATACCTGTTTATCATATTTCTATTCTTTCTGCCACATAGTTATTTCTCTCCAAATGGGCTATGCTTTCAGTGCACATCTTCAGACTAAAAGCTAACTGTCATACTCAAATGGAAGACTTTTAAAGTATTCATGCAAAGTATTCTTTATAACAGCCAAGATCCATGCTAGAAGATCAGCAAATTTAATATATGAAATTCCTACCAAATATACTTTTAATATAGGTCTTGAATATTTTCAAATTGTTTCATATTTAAAAATTGCCTGGTTAATTGCAATTATGAATTAGGCATTGGAAAAAAAGTTGAGAAAATTGGAAAGAAGAAAAAATGTGCCCAGCTCTTGCCATGGCTTAACAGCATAAAAAATCATGTGTACTGGTGTGCATCCACAAGCAGTGGGAATGAAGGGGAAAAGTGGCTCTCATTGTTTAATCACTTGACTGATGTTCATGATGGGCACGGAAAATTGTTCAAAAAATGCATACATGACAAAATCGAAAGAGAATGGTTAAACAAAGGTAAGAAAAATATTCATTATTGTCACCTTCTTCTTGTCCAATTTTTTTTCTGCATGAACGATAGCATTGACCCACAAGAATCTGATTAGTGCCATCAAAAAATGAGTATAGGGCCTACAGTAAATGACCTGAGTTTAAAGGCCAGTTTCCACTTAAACGAAAGCGGTCGAATCGATCGCTTTCGATCGATATCGATCGATTTCACACATGCGCAGATAGCATGCCGCGGACTCCCCCTCGACCGCTGTTGATCGAATTCGATCGATTGAAAAGTTCAAACCAGTTGAACTTTTCTGTCGATCGAATTCGATCAACAGCGGTCGAAAGGTATTTGAACCAATGAGATTAAGTATATTTTAGCATGTGATCATGTTACTAGGAAATCAGGAAGTGGAAAAATCAACAAAAATCTATGAATAGGCAGACCAACTTGAAATACGTAAATGCCACCAAACATTTTAATTCAAAAAGGGGAACTAACGCAATATTAGATTAGGCGTGTCTTCCTAAACGTCAGAATGAGTCAATCCAAGCAATTAAGAGCTACTAGAAAAATGGTGCTACGGCCGTATGATCTTATTTGTAAACAACAGAATTTTCTAGTATGGCTTCCAACGTTCCTTATTCTAAAGAAGAGCTAATAGCATTCTTTACCAACATGCAAAATCAAAGCAGGGTACAAGTTAACTGGCGAACAGGGGCAGCTTCTGCCGAAACAGAGGCCTCAGCATTGGTCGATGATGAAAATTCAGCTGTTTACTTAGCTAATGTTTCTGAGGGCAGTGAAGACGCTGACAGAAGTTTTGATGAAATGTTTGTTGAAGATGTACGGTCGTACAAATGCATATGGGACACTAGCTGCAGGGGTTTCAAAGATACCCAGATGAAACAGAAAGCTTGGGAGGAAATTGCGGAAAAGTATGGGAGGAATGGTGAATGTTAACTTTCAGTTTAAGCCCTCCTCGCCCTTGAATCGTTTTGAAGCCATAAGAGCACACAAAATAGATTTATTCTGGATTCATTTTTCATTAACATTTTGTTTTTTGCTTAATTGGGAAAAACTTACAAGCAAATTACAAATGATCTTTAGACAAATAAGTTATTACGAGACTCCAGGGTTTCATAGGTTTTGAAAATCTTTCTTAGTTGACATGTATGGTCTAAAAATAAAAGTGCATATACTTTTCATCTCACCCCGTTTTTTCGTTGTAGTTGGAGATTTAAAGAAGATTTGGAAAAACTTCAAAGAAAACCTTTCCAAATGCTCAAAAAAGAGAGACTTGATGACACGATCTGGTGCTGCTGCAAGCTCACTGCCTGAATGTAAGCTTTTTCACCAGCTACAATTTCTTAGGGATAAAGTAACAAATCGGCCTACAGTCAGCAACTTGCCACAGGAAAGTGCCCCTACGCAAGAAATTCTGGGAAAAAGCTTGGCATCGCCTGTTAGTCCTGTCCCTTTTGCCCAAAGTCCTGCATCAAGCCTGGAATCAATGAGCACTATACCAGGGAAACGAAAAAGAAAAGCCACAACACTACCTCAAAGAAAACTATTAATTTCAGATGATGAGCATCCCGATAAACTTCTATACGAAGCATTAAAAGGAGAAAATAGAGTAGAAGTTGATGCTGACCAGAGTTTTGCAAACAGTATTGTTCCAATTTTAAGGAACCTCCCTCCAAGAAAGAACAGACAAGCCAAAATAGAAGTTCAGCAATTGTTGCTTAAATATGAATTTGACGATGATGAGTTCTAATCCGCAATTTTACAGTAATTTATTTTAGAAACACGATATGAATTTTATTTTAAAATATATTTTACAATCGTTGTATTAAAAGAAATAGCTTTAATCAAATGTCAAATGGATCTGCTGTTCTAGTTATTCTGTCTTTCTGCCAATCAACTGAGCCTGCTTCTGAATTGAAATAGTTTTTATAGTTTTCCCGAACCTGACGAGCATCTCTTGAATAATTATGCGAGGCAGCATTTCTGATTGGTAATAACCCATCGCAGATACAGTCCAGACTTTTCCAGTCTCTTTCAGCATAGCCTTGTGGGCAATAGTTGCTTACTTCTCCAAATTTCTCCCAAACATAAGGTAATTATGAAGGGCAACCACGGCTTTGGTAATGGAAACAACTGTCTCAACCTCTGCAATTATTGGCCTTCTAAAAATTCTAAATCTCGAGGCACATATACCAAAAACATTTTCTACTTGACGCCTAGCTCTGGAAATACGGTAGTTAGTGATTTGCTCCTCGGTACCCATCGCATTTCTTGCATATGGTTTCATTAGGTAAGGCTTTAAAGGAAATGCCTCATCTCCAACGAAAACATACGGGAAAAAATCATTAGTCCCTGGCAACATTCTAGCTTTAGGGAGTTTCAACAAACCATTATCCATAGCAAAACCAAGCTTGCTTGCTGCAAAAACCCCTCCATCACTTTGTCTTCCTGAATCTCCGATGTCGATCATTGTAAATTCGTAGTTGGCATTCACAACAGCCATCAATACTATACTGTGGGTCTTCTCATAGTTAAAAAAGAATGACCCACTGCGGGCAGGGGCTTGCATAACAACGTGCTTTCCATCTATTGCACCAACACAGTTTGGAAAGATCCATTTCTCCTCAAATTCTTCTGCTATTTTTCTCCATTCGTCTTCGCTACTTGGGACCTTAAGATATCCTGCTTTAAACAGCTCAGTCCAAATTACTTCTGTAGTCTCTTTAACGATCCTACTAACAGAAGTTTTACTCATTCTGTAGCTTTCTGCAATAGTAGTTTGTGCATCTCCAGTTGCAAGATACCTGAGAGTGACTAATGAGCGCTCTCCTGGCTGAATTGCTTCCCTTTTTACACAACTCTTTAAAATTTTTGGAGCTTCCAATTGCAACAAATGTTCGTATTTTTCTGGTGTCATTCTAAATTGCTGGTAATAAAGCATATGATCATACAATTTCATTTCTCTGATCAACAAATGATATTCACCCTTCTCTTTTCGCTCTGCGTATAACTTCCTAACCCAAATCCTTTTATTTTCCTTCTCTTTACTTCGTCGTCTTTGCCGTCTTCTTAAAGGGGAAGTTCGGTCTAAAATGAAATTTGGCTACATTGCTGTAAATATAACAGAAGGCTTTGTTGTGAATTGTTTTTGCTCTTACCTCTCATTTTACTCTGTTATTCCACGAAAACTGTCTCCCAAAATCGCCTCGCGATAGGCCGCCATCTTCAACTCTCACGAGGATAATGTTGTTGTTGCCTTTGACGTCATCACGTTCAGAAGATGAAAGTGACTCAAGTGTAAGCTATGGTGAAAGTTAATTGATTCGGAAGGTTTCGGATTGAGAAACAACTTTTCTCGAAATCGGACAGTATTTAAAGATTTTTCGTTCAAAATGCCGAACTGTGGTGCATTTGGGTGCACAAATCGCTCGAGTCATAATAAAGAATTGAAGTTTCATCAGATACCAGGGGAAGGTCGCAACAAGCAACTCAGAAAAATGTGGCTAAATGTTTGTTTTACAGTATCGCTTAATAGTTTGAATATTTTGAATATACATAACGGAGAGTCTTTAACAGAAATGCAAGTATATTGAGTGCTTTAAGGGTGTGGTCTCTTGAAGTTTCCTATTGCACAGCCCTTCTTCTTTAGTTCTAAGGACGGCATCCTGGGTCTACATACTTGACAATAGTTTTCTTGTAGTAAAAAATTGTTTGCAATCTAACATGTAATTTTTCAGCTTCTGGATGCTGCATGTGCTTCAACCTCCCCCAATGACCTTGATGAAACAATTGCCAAAAGCATCTCCACTCAAACGGAGTCTAAAAAATTTCTGGAAAAAAGCGTCGGTTGTACAGTAAATATGGTACACAAGAAAGTTGGTACCTTCACCACAATGGTAAGCGTGGGAACCCAGTGTTGTGACCGTCAAAGTTCAACTGGCCCCGAAATGAGAGATGTGGCAGTAAACACAGAAGAAATGGCAGGATTTGATGATTCTACCGCTTATGTCCCATCCTGCAGTGAGTCAGAGGGTGAGACCGATTCCTTCAAAGATGCCGATTTTTCTTTCCACAGCGACGAAAATGAATCATCTACGGAGGCTAGTGACGAAACTGATGACGAGGAGCTAGGCAACGAGCAACCAAGCCACGACACAAAATTTGTTGTGTTTTGGTCATGCTTGCTTCCATTGCTGCAAATTTGCTCAACTTGCTTTACGACTACGACTTTACGGAAAATTATACGCAGTGGGGCATGGTAAAAGTTGAACGAATTTGCAGCAATAGCCACAAAACATCATGGTACTCCACTCCGAGAATACGTGGGATGTCTCTGGGGAATCTTGAATTGTCAGCTTCCATACTTTATACCGGCAGTACTTTCACAAGAATCCAAGAGATGATGTCACTATGCAACATATCGTTTTTAGGTCGCACAAGCTATCACGCTATACAAAAACAAATACTTTTCCCAACTGTCAATGACTTTTACGAAAACGCTAGAAAACAGCTTATTTCCTTAGTGGATGGTCCTGTAGCCTTAGCAGGGGACGGTAGATGTGATTCGCCAGGTTTTTCTGCAAAGTATGGTACATATACTGTGATGGACACAAACACTATGAAAATTTTAGACTTTTCCGTTGTCTATGTAGGAACTGTCTCAAGTTCTAACGCAATGGAAAAGCAGGGTTTGAAAAATTGCCTTCAATCTCTAGAGAATCAAGGGATGAGTGTGGCATCATTAACTACTGATCGTCATCAGCAAATCAAGGCATACATGAAAAACGAAAAGAGTAACATTAATCATCAGTTTGATATTTGGCACGTAAGTAGAAATATTAAAAAGAAATTAGTTTTGCTAGCAAAAAAGAAAGGCACTTCAGATTTGAATGGTTGGATGAAATCAATTATAAATCACTTTTGGTGGTCTTGTGCGATATGCAACAAAGATCCTTATATTCTTCGCTAAAAATGGTTAAGTATCTTATACCATATAAGGAACATACACAGATGGGAAGATGCAACCATTTATAAACGGTGTGCACATGCAAAGCTATCCAAAAGAGACAGATTGGAAAAAATTTGGTTAATAGAAGGTTCGCCTGCTTATGTCGCACTCGAATCGGTCATTAAGGACAAATTCCTGTTAAGAGATTTAAGGTATTTAACCGAATTTAGATACACAGGGCAAATCGAGGTATATCATTCCCTTTACAATAAATATTGTCCCAAAAGGCTGCATTTTGGTTTCGAAGGAATGATTGCTAGGTCGGAACTTGCAGTATTGGACCATAACGCTGGGACAGAATGTAGACATGCCAAAACTCAGGACGATGAATATCGGCACAAGTTGTCGTTTTCAAAAGTAACGCAAAACTGGGTAGTAAAAAAAATTCCCGAAAAGAAAGACAAATCTTATTTACGGGAACTTATGACAAAAACATTAGAAGCAAGAGAAGAGAAGAAAGCACCGAAATCTATAACACCTGGAAGCGTACCACAATACCTTGCATCTAAAGAAAAGCCAGCCAAAGCTGAGGCCGTAAAAAACAAACGTACACGCTTTGAGACCTAATTACCAATTATTTTTCATGTATATTTAAAAATTTCGTCATATAAGAATATATTTTAGTGTTAATACAGTATACTTTCATTAAGTGGGGCACTCAATGGACTGCGCAAAAGTGTACTACTTAGCAGGCGTCCTACTTATCCAAACTTGCAAAGGGTTTACTGTTCACATATCAATTATGTTCATTTATCCAAACTTAAAGAGAGTATACTGTAATTTTGTGCTTTTATTCGTCACTATCACTTTCTTGATATAGTCTTTTATCCTCATGCCGGCTCTCCATGAATGGCACGTAGTAGACGTTCTCAGACGGAAAACTATTCCGAATGGCCCAAATAGCACAAGATGGAATGACTTTTCAAACTCCTTTGCCAAGCCGGTTATGTACCCACCACGTGTATTGCTTATATGCTGCGAAACGTAAAGTCCTACGGAATAGATAATAGTTATTAGATGTTAGAAATTTCTAGCCATGATTTGTTATGTCTTCAATATTTACAATGAAAAGGACTTTTTATTCAGTGTTTCAACCTAAAAGGCTTTTGCCTTTTTAACATGTAAAGAAACAGTTTTTTACTTACCTGTTATTTATAACAAGCTTGTCTCCTCTCAAGTTGTTCATAGCAGACAGGGCAGTTTCGAGTACAGCTCTGGTCAAACAAACAATCTTGAAATCCGCAGACAAAGATATGCAACTTTGGCCTTAAGAAAATGAACACAGTGTAATAAGCAATTGTATTAGTAACTGACTAAGTAATTTTATTTTTCTCTATTATTATGGGCTCCGACACAGGATGGTTAGTGAGGGGCTCAAAGGAACATTTAGCACCCATTAAAATATTTTGAAAATGCTCTCTTGTCTTGCAAAAAATTAGGGGGGGGGCAATGCTCACCCCGCCCGCTTTGTGTGAAGGCCCTGATTCCCAGATCCTCTGCGAGCATCGAAATAAGTTTATTATTTTCTTTAATTCTTTAGATCTTGCTAGTATTCTTAAGAAAATACTTTGTTGCACTTATATATAATAAGTTACTATTTTTGTGTATTTTTACTGCAAACTCAAATATTTTACTACAAATGTGTATAGTTTACAATGTTATACGGCGTTTTTTCAATTAAAAGCAAAAACGTTTACCTTGGAAGTAATTTTCTGGAATATCGTTAGTTTCTTGGCAGCAAAGACTTTCGGCGTATGTTTCCATTGCCTTACATTTACCCCCACAAACGCACCAGTAGGCATTTCCGATTCTCTCTCTTTCAGATTCACTCTCAGTAGAATCATCTGATTCTCCATCCAAATCGTTCAGTTCCCAGTCTTCAAGTTTCCGCCTTGGTTCCATATCAAAAGGCTTTAAACGATTTATTTCAGGAACCGCATTATCCTCCGATTCACAGTTTCCATCTGTGCTCTGTTCTGATGACAAGACTTCGTCAATGAATTTTTCAGCCATTTTGCGGTAAAAACAAAATCTTGCAGTTGAAAAATATGTCTGTTCTCTATACTTTCACATAAATCTGTGAATATTATGTGGGTTGAGCAATAAATACAATGGGGTTGAATGATAAAAATACTATTGACTGCGTAAGCAGCGTTCATTCAGTGACTCACTGCGATCTTTTGAACGTGATGACGTCAAAGGCAACAACAACATTATCCTCGTGAGAGTTGAAGATGGCGGCCTATCGCGAGGCGATTTTAGGAGACAGTTTTCGTGGAATAACAGAGTAAAATGAGAGGTAAGAGCAAAAACAATTCACAACAAAGCCTTCTGTTATATTTACAGCAATATAGCCAAATTTCATTTTAGACCGAACTTCCCCTTTAACAATAGCAGAACTATAAATTGCCTTCTTGTCAAACCCATTCTGAAAAATATATATTGGCCTAATGTTATTGATCTTTTATCGTGAATTTTCTTTCAATCGAGGGCGGTTGATTTGACTGCTTTCGCTTAAGTGGAAACTGGCCTTAAGGGTGACATCTTGAAGCTTTTACGGCTTGCCAATAATAGATATGAAAATTATCCAACCAAAATGAGACAACGAAAGTTTCTTCATCAGTCACCAAAACACATATAGTCATGCCTGAATGGCAGTAAAGTGAAAGTTATTTGTAGAAGAAACTCAGACCATTCACTTTAAGAGAAAAGTATGCATCACAACTAATGAGTGAAAATATCTTAATTCTAGGGAGCAGTGGATACAAAGAATTGACATTCAATCTCACAAAAAAGGCTCTAGTAAAAGACATTTGAAAGCTGTCTCCATTGAAACAGACCAGTGCACTTGAATCATATCATAACGTGGTGATCAACTTTGCACCCAAGAGTACACACTTTTTCTACTT